GCACACTCACATTCACACCTACGGACAATTTACAATCACCAATTAACCTCAGCATGTTTCTGGACTGTGGGAGGAAGCCGGAGAACCCGGAGAGAACCCACGCTGCACGGGGAGAACATGGAGACTCCACGCAGGAAGATCCCGGGTGTCCTCACTGGGACACGAACCGGCGACCTTCTAGCTGTGAGGCTGCGACGCTAACCACTGAGACACCTGCAGCCCTAAAATAATATTTATTAATAATATTTTCAGAAGATTCAAATGCAGTAAAACTGCCTATTTTTACAGTGATGCAACATAAAGGAACACATTAATAAATGTAAAGAATGTTAGGCTTTTTTAAATCTATTTTCTTTTATTTCTTTGTACAGTCAACCTTTAAATTAATACATATTTTCCCTGTGGTTTTATGTATTATCTACAATTTAAAATAAATAAGAAAATTAGGAAAATAATTTTTGAAGAATTATCTACTATTTTAAATTTTTTTTATGACACTGAATTTTGCTTTCAAATGGCAGCATGTCAGTGAAGCTGAATCAAAACTGATGAAGTTTATGAATTCTTGTTTCTGACAAAGAAATAAATTTTAAAAATATAAAATTATATTTAATTGTATTCCATCACGGTGGACCATCGACTTAAAGAGCAGGTTAAATTCACAAACATCATCCTTGACCGTGTTAAGCCCCCTTAATGCTGCCCTGGTTTACCCCCCTGGACGAGGCCAGATACCCTCTGGGGTATAAAATAGCCTCGACTGGTTTATAACTCAGAGGAAGTGGCGGTCTAGGCCAGACTATTCCCTCTGGTCCAGCTGATCCAACCACTATTTCACTGTCTACAGGTTGTTTCAGACAGGAGTTATTTTTCTGGCTCTTTTACAATCAGAGGCGCCACATTTTTCAGGCAACAGCATCGATTCATCACATCAAGGCTACCGGTGGTACGATGCTGTCGCCTGCTATTCTCAGAATAATAGTCGCGATTCTTCAGGAACGCCTTCCTTTGTCGGATGTCGGATACAAAACACAGTTACGAACAATGTTAGTACATGTTGTACTCCATAAATACATATATTGTTTTCAAAAACACACAATAATTCAGCAGGGTTGCTAACCTGGAAGTTGCTCTTCAAAAATAAAATTGACTAAAATAAGCTCAGTGGACGTATAACACTGGTGCTGGACGAGTGCTCTGTATCAGAGAGTATCCTTAATTAGGGCGTCTGAAGTCTGTATTAAGACAAAACTGCATCCTTACCTAAATGGCTGCAACATGCTGCTACTCATGCTATCTAATTCTATGGTTTCTCTCCACAAATGCTGGAAATTAAAGTCTCAAAAGAAAATACGGACAAAACAGTCTGAGAGGATAGAGTCAGTTTTTGGTAAAACAGCAGCTTGTAAATATGCAGCCAGATATTAGTTTAGCTCTGAAAGGTGACAAAAAGGCCGGAAAGCCGACGATATGATGATGATGTGATGCTCTGTGTCATATGGTTCTTAGATTCAGCTTATAGTAGTTCATAGCTCATTTTACATGCGTGGTTCAGCTGGTTTTGTCTGTTGTGAGCTGTGAGATATTGACTATATTTCAAAGTAAAAGCACGTGTTTTTTTGTACAGAGCACTTTTTTTTATATATAAGAAATACAGAGTTAAAGAGGCAACCAGTTTCCCAAACTGGCCAAAATTATTTCTCCTATAGTGTCTGATCTCTAAATATAAAAACAAATCTTAGAAAACTTGGGTCAAGACGGTGAATCAACTCAACATGAGAAGCAGCTCGACCTTCAACCTGAACTTTTAACTCACTCTCATAGATTGAATATTCATCATAAATGTTCCTTCTTTTGAGGAACCATGTTGGTGTTTACCTCAAACAAACATCTCCTCCCACCTGCCTGCTCCCAGACGATGCTTGTCTTGTAGGCGTTAAACAGATTTACGCTCCATCTTTTCACATTTCTGCCCGTGTTTACCTTCAAACACTAACGAGGTCGACGTGGTTCCAGGTGGGTTCGGCTCAAATTCGCTCCCCGCTGGAGGAGAAATCTCCCACAATCAGTCTCATGTGTTGATTGAGCCCCCTCGCTCTGATTTGCCCCTTGCACCGGAAAGGCTAGAAGCATTGATTTCATTAGACGCAGGAGTGTAGGGCTTTCTGTTTGCCTTAGCTGCATTCCTCACATACCAGAGCCCCCCCTGCCTCCCTGCCTGCCTCCCTGCCCACCCGCCTGCTCTCTGCTTTCTCCACCCGGCCAGCAGCCACCACAGTCCAGCCTTTCCCCCTGAAAGCTGTTGCTGCCTTATCAATACCTGCACCGACACTTCGCCTTTAGTTTCCTGCATCTTGAGCTTTATACTCGATATCAGCGACGACCTGAATACGAGCAGCTCCTGCAGGTTTCCAACCAGGTCTGTGCGAGTTCACGTGTAATGACCGGACTGCTGCCTCCAATAAGCGCCATGTGGAGGGAATTCATTTAAAGTGGAGCACGGCGGCTTTACTACTCGTGATTTCGGGGCAGGATTTCACTGTAAATGCAAATAAACGTTACGGTTAAAAACGTCTATTTTTAACCAAACTCGCTCCCTTTTTTTTCCCTTTTTTTTCTTTTCCACTCGCTGCAGGACACCCAGGAGTGGAAGCTACGCCTAGTCAGGCCTCAAACCACAACGCCGGCAACTATGTTTTCCAGGGGCCCACTTGACCCACTTTACATGTGAGGCTTGCTCAGAAGAGTTCTCAGAGTTTATTTAATCACGGCGTGAGGATAATCCAGCATGTCTCAGCCTCCAGCTCTGTGTCTGTACGGCAGCCACTTCCCTTCCCTTTGTGTGTCGTACAGCACAGCGTTTCCCGGGGATATCCTCCATGAGGCTCAAACAATACCACATCTTGGTGGAAGGTGGGAGAGCTGCTGCTTTTTTTTTGTTGTTGTTGCATGAAGCTGCTTCGTAATCCTGCTGGAACCACTTCCCAGATTCTTACTATTAAAATGCCATTACGCTGATAAACTGGTACGGACAGCATTTTATCTTTATCTCAGATATAATTGATTCCCCCGGGCTTCGGCTGACTTCTTTTTTTTTTTCTATCTGTGTCACACACAAGCACACACACAGCAGCAGTCAAACACACATCTGTGCACACATGAGAGGAACCACCAGTGACAGATAAACAGCCGTGTGGTTTGCGGCTTTGCCAACAATCTAAAATATGACCCTTTTTTTTTCCAGATTGCAGCTGATTAGCCACAGGAGAACCGTCTGTTCTAATGTTCTGCCCAAAGTACTGAAATAATCGTTTATTAGAAACAAAAATCGTCATCCTCGGTGGTGGAAAACGTGTTCGGATCTCAGGAACGTCTGCTCTGATTGGCTGATTGGCTGTGAGGAGCTAAAAATAAGAAATTCTGTTTATGGAGATAAAATTCTTTATCCCAAATATCTCATCAAACTCTGGTTTAACTGCATCGTGGGTAATGTAGGCCCG